TGCGCATCAAATAAATCAAAAGTGCTAAATTATTCTGAACAACATTAACTTTAACGCCCTCGGCAATGAAGGTGCACATGCGGGGCAGCATTTCATGGAGACCCGGATCAGAGCCGAGCGACTGCAGCGCCTCGGCACGACGAGGYTCATCCGATCCGACGCAGGCTTCGGTGATCTCCTTGTAGTACAGCTGCTGTTCCACCGACAACTCATGCGTGGCCAACTGTTTGACATGTATTGTTTCGACGTTCTTAAGCTTGTGTATTTTTCCAGTGGTTGGCTTTCCAGCGGCATCTTTGTTCAGGCCTTGGTCTAGTTTGATGACAGGATTAACAGAGTCCACGAGCTGCGAGTCTTTGGAGAGGGGTGGTGGATTTTCCGGCACGGTCGGCTGTATACCCTCCACAACGAACCAATGGGATCGCAACGTCAGATCAAGTGGTATTTTAAATGAGCTATTAGCTGTGATCTCGTTTAAGTCAATCTCTTTATCCTCTGTAAAATGTAGTTCGCGACCGCCGCCGGAGGCGAATCGGAAGGGTATAAAGTCCTTGGTCATGAATCCATATTGTGGCTCAATATTGCGCACCTTCAGCGACATATCAATGTCTTTGACCGACAGCTTTTGCCGCTTGGCATGGTGCATRAATTTGGCGGCATCCTGTACAATTCGCTTCAGCTTAATGGAAACATCTTCAGCTAGCTCTTTGGCGGCGTCATCGGATAGGGAGCCCACGCCGATGCTTTCGGCAATTACTTTCATTGATTCGGCTGATATGCTGGAGCCATAGAGCATACTGCTGGCAGGGCTACTACTTTTTAACACTTTATTACTCATTTTGATAAATAAACAATTTTTTTCACCCTGCAACGGTATATGCCATCCACTTGCGATGGGTAGAGGTGGGACACTAATGGTGGTCGATTACTCATTTGATACAAGCGAATGTATCGTACTAAAAACTAGTTCGATAAGTTTTAGAACAGAAACTTGTTTTTAAATTGAAAAATTACAGTACACAAATAAAATGAAAATATTCAAATGTTATTAAATATAAATACCTAGTTTTATTATTCATTGCTGGAATTGGCTCAAATTATATYTGATAGTAGTGYTGGAAAAGGYGCTCGAATGCAAATGCTAATCGAATGACTCCATATGCTAAATAATCGGTGCATACAAATACATCGCTTTGCTGGCCATCCCTAATTCGTAGTTTCTTTTCTTTATTTATGTTCATACCTTGTGGCTTTTTTGTTTTATTATTGAAATTATAGATTATAGCTTGCAAAATATTGTAAATGTAATGCGATTAACTATTAAAAGCCAGTGCAAGTGTTTAATAAATGATCAGCAATTAAGTTGAAAGTGCATTGAAGCATGTCGCGTCGCACCTTTGGAACAAAGCAGCAGCAGTGAAAATTCAACGCGAGACTGCAGGGTGAAAACGGCGCCATTTTAAGAAGCAAAACAAAGCCAGCAGCAAAAGCAGCAAGCAAAACTTGAATGCAATGCAATTAAAGGCGCAAAAAGCATATGCATATGCTCAAATAACAATTTCATTATCGGTGTGCATAATCAATTAACGCTACAAAAAAATTACAAAACGTAAGTGTACGTGTGTGTGCGTATTTGTGTAAGTGTGTGTGGAATTTCCGCCCGCCCCCTCGGCCATAAATATTTGTTTGCGTCTGTGTGTGTGTTTTGTGTCTGTCGCATTTTGTGGTTTGACCTAGTTAAATTGTCAAAAATTCTGAACGTGTAGTAGATAATGTGACCAGCTTAATAAAGTTTTATCATTTTATATATGTACATATATTATATATGAATAGCTCCGCCCTCGAGTCGAAATATGAGCAGTGGCCAAAATGAGGCATCAGCAGCAGCAAAAAAGGAAAAGGTTCTCGAAACGCAGCAACGTACACAAGAATCCGGCAGTGAAAATGAGGTAAGTCGTGCACTAAAATATTTATATATAATAAAATCTACATATTAAAAGTTACTTTTAATTATGTTGTAAGTGTATGCTAGGGCTATTAAGTATTAATTAATTAACAA